CCCCCCCCCCCCCCCCCAACTTTCGAGGACGATCCTACGTCTATGATACGTCCAACGAGAAACCTATGGGATACAATACGATTTCTATAGATTCCCTTTAGGAATGCATGCATCCCTATAGGAACCCAGCAGGTTCTACATGAAGCCCCTTGGATTCCTCTATCTTTCTATAAGATTTCTATATATTCCTATAGGATTCATACAGGAATCTGAAGGACTCCATATAGCAATGCGAGCTTCCTATAGGAACCCTATAGGTCCCAGAGGAAATCTATAGGATTCCTATGTGGTCGTAGGGTAATGCTATACATTCATATTCAATCCCTGTAATAAATTTTCATAAGGGACGAAACATTCCCTCACGAGTCCCATTAGGAAAACATGGAGCGAAATACGTGACGAGCGATTCCGTTCAACAGACTGTGAAGTGACCTCGAGTCTGGCAACCCTGGATCAGGAGTGGAGTACAAAAATGAAATGCAAGATGCCACACCACAAGTAGACGTGAATGAGGATGCCTTCGGTGATGTACCTGTTCCTGCTCTTCCTCGTCTCCCCGATCGAAAGCTTCCCCTCTCAGTCGCCCGAGCCATGCCCGTCTGGCCGTGGAGAATGCAGGAGGATGAAGGAGTGTCCCGCAGAAGTGGCAATGTTTAATGAAAATCCTTCCATCCTGCCGTCGCTATTGTGCTCCATGGATCCCTCCGGTGATCCTATGATCTGCTGCAACCAAACACCACCACTCCCGGAAGGCAGTAGTGAACAGACTACAATCCGAATAAGCAGAGCCAGTGAGTCGCTCCTTTTCCGTTCTGTACAGGGTGATTCTGCCCTTTCGAGTCGACTTTTCCTTCTTTGATCTGTGCAGAATGCAATGAGTACCAGCAGGTGCTAGCGGAGAACACAGACTGCGAACATAACCAGCAGCCATTGATTACTGGAGGAGTAAATGCTGACCCTTTTGAGTTCCCTCACATGGTACGGTATATTGCCCATTTCTTCACCTTTCAATGCGTTCCTTGCCTTATTAACCTCAAACGGGATTTTTTTTAAAAATGGAATCCGACTATTGCGACTCTCATTTCCCAAGTCCAATAAACATCAGTTCTAATCTTGAGATACTGATTCGAAAAGGGAAGAGTGAATGATCTCCGGGAACTTATTCGCCCTGAAATTGAAATGAATGAAAATCGGGAAAGGTGTCCATTAACGTTATCGACAGATTCGCACAATTACGGTTTGTGTCCGAAATCGTGATTTAATCACTTACCCATCCCCCCCAAGTGATTAATATGACGCGAAAGTGAACTGCTTGTCATAGAGCCTTTCGCTTCGCATATTCTGCTGACCCTTCGATTCAACGTCGCGTCGATTCCTGGAGTCGACGTTTCAACAGCTCGTAGAGTTACGAATCGAGTATTGAGTATCGAGTTGCGGATAGAAGTATCAATATGACGCTATTCGCTTAGCCGCTGACGGATTTACTGGGGAATCGTCTCTTAAGAGGTTAGAAAATTAATCACCGCATTCGCCTCAATTTGATCTGCGAACCCTTTGGTGGCACATAAAAAAAAAATCTATGAAAGTTTATTGACAAATATTAATAAATCTGACATCAAAAGACATCTGTCTTCTCATGAGAAGAGGTAAAGAGGTGCATTGCAATTGGAAGTACCCCAGACTTAGAACTTTTTGCTCACTCTAAAAATCGTGATTGACGCGAGGTGGGATTTTTTTAAAATGAGATATGAGGCGAAAATATAAAGATGACCGAACATTATTTCGAAATTTTCTCACTAAATGTTCTCATTTGTGCGAGATATTGCATATTTTGAATATGCGTTGCATATGTAAGTTGCATATTCGATGAAAATCTTTGCACAAATGTGCACCACCGATTCCGTCGCATGCTTTTCACTGAGATCATTTGAAAAAAAAAAAGAATTTCAGCAGGGAATCCACCTCCCATCCGCACTGTCGTTTACTACATAGACGCCACGAAAAATCGATCGTTTTCGGCACCTGTCTATCGGAATCGGAAATGATCGCTATCGCTATCAGCAGGGACCGATTAGCCCTCAGAGGATGTAGGGATGTCTTGTATACGATTGAATTAACGAGTTGATATAACGAATATGAGATAACTGAAGGCGCAATGAAGGTAACCTGCGCCATCCATCAAATTCCACGGGAAGCCGAGAATGACATATCGCCGTGGGGT